ATTAATACACATGTCCTATGGGACTGTAAAATACGGAGCAGAGACTTGCTTGTAAATAATTATAAGTTATTTGTTTTAATTATAATGAGCCGTGGTATTGATCAGTTCTTAAACTTTCCACGTCTTCGTTTAGTTATTTTCTGCAAATAAAGCAAGCCCCACAGATCACTGCCAGTGTCATTCTGTGTTTCCTGTGGTAGCCTGAGAAAGGTAACCCGGAGTTACCCCCTTCCCAGGAGTGTGCTTTCACAATGTTTCTTTTCAAAACCATCTGTGACTCATGACTAGTTGGTAACAGGAGGGGGGAAGTGGACTGTAGTTAACTGTCTTCCGGCAGAGGTACAGTTGTGGGGAGGTGGTCTGCTCTGCACTGTGCTAACGGCATCTGGCTGATGCTTGGGTCAGCATTGTTCTTCAGCAAATTTAAATGGTGCAGTTTTCTTGTTTTCCACTGCCTGTCCAAAGCTGAGGATCTGGCTGAAAACGCACTGGTCTCAACTCAGTGTGGGTTGACTCAGTCTGGAAAAGGGAGAAGTTATATTGGGTGGTGAAGGGACGCAACTACAAGAATTATAAATACTGCACCATCTGTTCCTAGTGTAACTACCCTGTGCCAAAGCAGTCCACAGTCTCTGGAACTTTTGGAGTGTTCAGCTTGTCTTGAACTCCTGAGTAGTGGTGGTAGATTATTGCCTCTTCTGTTTTGGATCTCCTGATGTTGCATACTTTCTCCCACATGATGGAAATCCATGCCTTTGTTTACCTTGGAGTTTATAGCAGTATTATACTGAAGTATGTGCAGCATGCTTGGATACTGTGGGCACCAAAGTATCTACACAACTTAGTGTGTATAAAGGGAGAGTAGAGAGTGCTTGTGCTTAAGGAGTACCCTGGCATCCTAGTTATAATAGCATAGTCAAAATCTTTGTAATGCAGCTTTGTAATGCAGGATTCACAACCCTGAATATTTTTCTCCAGAGTAGCTGAGAATTGTGGGCAGATACTACATCTCTTTAGTTTTTCATGTTGAGGCTCTTTTGTCTGGCTAAACAACCTTTACAGTGTTGTGAGATATATATTTATATATATGCATACCAGATTTACTGGAAAAAAATATATATATATATTACTTTCTGAGCTCTGTATGTCCAAAGGAGGTAGGGGAGATTTTGGGGGGGCCTCAGGAAGAACTGCATGATTCGCCACAACTGCCTGAGTCCATGCTTGTTCCCTGGCATGGCCCCAGGAAATAAAACGGTTTGTTTTGAAAACATATTCTACCTCCAGAAAGAGCTGCCAAATGGGGGGCCAAATAAAAGAGAAAATAAAAGGAATGATATATAGTAGGTATCTTTGCTCAAAGCGAAGAGAAGAGGATGGTGCCTTTGAGGCTATTCGCAACAGAAATGTGGTGATGCTGATGTATGTAAATCTAGGCAGTTTTTGTACTTGCAAGCTAAGAGTTATCTCTTTTTGGAAGTCATGTAGACTCTCCCGTGAGTTGTGAGGAAATTGAAGGATTGGACACTTAAGAAACAATTAGACAACATATACATAATACTTCTGAGAATCTGGGTCAGCAGGAGCATCATTTGGGACAATGTGATGGAAATTTGTGTTTTCATTTTGTTACAATCCATAAAAGCATGCTATATGTGTTTACACTTTTTTTTTTCATGATTCTGAATGAGCGGTCAGTAACTCAGTACTCTAGGCATCTGACTTGTGTGGAGAAGTGCTTATGTATTGCTTATTTGAATACTGGCACCAGAATTTACTAAAGCTATGTGAATATTTAGAGCCTGGCCACCACTGCATCTGGATTCTGTTGGTAGACTTTTGCCGTTTTTTTTGTAAGGGCCTAAAGGAATTAGGTATCTGATGCTTACCAGTTGTCTAATTTCTGCAGATGTTCTGTATAATCTAAGTCATAAGCTTTTTTCAGCAATTCTGCTTTGTAAATAGATCCTGAGTTGGGAGAGTTATGTGCCTGGTTTATGGCAGTGGCTTTTCCTTTTGCCTGATAAAACCACCTACTATCTTTAAATCTTTGAATGTTCTTGGGCAGGACTTGTGGGCAGGTGTTCAGGTAATATATTCTAATATTTTCTATTGCCTTGAATACATTTTTTTAATAAAAAAATATTTCTTTGACAAAATCTTGGAATACAAATCTGTTTAAGAAGATTCACAGTGTTCTCATAAAATTGGGGGAATTTTCCTTCTTCTAACAGAAAAGGAAAAAAAGGACTTGATCAGGAGTAAGGAGTGCAGCATTCCCCTCCAGTGATGGTTTTTTGAATTTTACAGCTTGGGCTCTCACAAGCCCATTACCCTGTAAAAGGAGTTTTAAATCTTTAAAACTTGCTTACTGTAACTTTTTAATGTATACAAAAATTGCAACCAGTGAAGTGGAAATTGAGAACAATACATTTTTCTGAGAATCACAAGTTAAGTTTGAAGTAAGGGTATGCATCGAAGGTGGGATTTTGCTACCATTTTATTTAGGCAAGATTGTTTTATAGAATACCCTTACACTCTTATTTGTAAAATACATTGTGTGATGTTGTGCAGTGATAGCAGTTATTGTACTTAAAAACTGATTGCATTCTGTAATCTTTTTTTCTTTATAGTGGTATTTTTGGTGCTAGGTCCTGTGCGGTTAAACTGACTGAATAAGCTATAGAGAGATTCCACTGTGAGAGTGCAGTTTTAGTGTACTCTGTGTTTTGTGACACAGTAATCATCTCTTATAAAAACGCCTTGTTTGGTGGAAATATCTGTTGTCCTACATGGAGTGAAATTGCTAATCTGTTAGACGAAGGCATAGAATGAGGTATGCATAGAATGAGGTATGAAGTCATGATGATAATTTAAAAACTTGATTCCTTTTGTGATGGTGTTGTGGGATTGTGGGGGCTAATTAGTGACTTGTTGTCTTGTGTTTTGAACAGAGAAAACTCAAACATACCGCCCTGCCGTACCTTGTGATGGTACAGGATCCCAAGGTAGTTTATTTTAGGTGAGGGCATTATATTTTGAGTGATTTAAAGAGCCGTTGTTGTAGTTCGTTGTCTTGAATCAGGGGAGAGTAGCAGCTATTAAAACATAACAAGAGGGAATTTATAAGCAAGTGATATTAAACACTTTTTTTTTATTTTGACAGGACATGTGGGTAAGTGGGGGAAAATAAGCAAAAATAGTCTTGATGTAGTAGCGTTTTGTCTGCTCATTTGTTCTGATAGTTATATACTCTTTTTCTCATGGAAGAAAATGAGTCGTCAGTTCTGTAGAATTTAAGCTGCCTGACTGCCAGTAATAGGCACCAATACTTTTTTTTTTTCCCCGATGTTATTTTTTTTTCTTCTCTGTTTTGCTTTGCAAATAGACCTCTTTTTTGCCTTGATAGGAATGTTGGGATCTGTGCTTTATTTTTCTTAAGCGTTGCTCTCTTAGTTTGACTCCTACTAGCCAAGATGTTGGCAGGGTTACAGTGTGGGTTCATACAAGTTGTCACATAGCAGAATTTATGCTACGCACTCTTATCAGAAAGTAACTATTGCTAACTATGCATAGTGGTAAACCCAGAAGACAAAAGTGAAACATTTTCTTTTACTCCAAGTTCTGTAAGAAGAGAAGTTGCGTTTGGGGAGATCTCTTAGGTCTTACAGAATGTACTCTCAAAATATTGCAGAACAGAACACTTTTTAAAAATACTTCATTTTCATTCTGCTTGCTTTGTTATTTTGAGACAAGTACCATGGGCAGGTACGCCTTATTATAAAACTACACTTAAGGCAAATTAAAAAAAATGATAGTCTGAGCCTGCCTAATGGTCAGCTGCTTCTGGTTATGGCGAACCAGCTTGTTTTCTTGTACCGTCACTGAGACTTCTGTGTCCTTACAGAAAGTCAGTTTAGAAATCTAAATGAGCTGGGATTCTTTATTTGTTTGTTTTTAATAAGGTTATTTACCTGCTGCTTTGGCTCCTCATATAATGAGATCATTGTATGATCAAACACATCAAAATGCTGCTGCTGGAATTAGGGATTACTGAGAAACATGACTGGTTTTGTTGATAACAGCAGACCATGGTTTTTGTGAAAAGTATGGCAGATCTGTTACTGTGTTGCTATACAGACACCAATGATAGAACCTGCTAAAAGTTTTCAGAGTGTTGGAGAAAATTAGTGTTACAGATCTGTAGCTTACCTCAATTTGCTCTTCTAAGAATGCAGAAATAAAAAACAGTAAGAGCTGTGTCTTTCTTCCCAGTCTATAATTCATTATCTGAGCTTGTACCATTTTACAAGCCACTCAAACTGCATTCTTATGGCTTGTGACATCAGCTACACCCCTCAAGTGAATTACAACTGGGTTCAGTCCAAAGCAATTTTTTGTCTTTTCCATTGTCTTCTTCATTCGTGTTTGTGATTGCATGTAGAGATAACCAGGGAGGTCCTAAATTAAATATTTAATTTTTAAAGAGTCATAAAGGATTCTTAGAAACATTTTTAATACTTGTTGTGGTATATTGCTATGCATTTTATAAATAAGAATTTCACTATATCTGATTATTTGGGCAGAGATTTCAGAATGAGCGTATGTAAGTGAAGATGCCCAACAGTCTCTGCGCCCTTAGGAGTACTGTGCTTGACGCCTTGTGATAGAGTTTGATTGCAATTCAGCTGAATTCGTATCCTCTGGTAGATGCTTCTCTTAGCCTAGAAGCTACTTTGTTATGTGGATGATGTGTAAGCATTCAGAAATGGACTGAAATGGTAACTTCCTTGATCCATCTAGGGGGCTTTTTAAAGCATGGGCATACTAATGTGTCATGTTAAGTATCAGTTAAGCATTTTCTGCTGATGACAGATTGCAAGTGTGTGTGTGTGTGTGTGTGTAATGCTTACCAGCAGATTTTCTTCATTACATTTTTTTTTTAGTGCCCCTAATGTCACATAGAAATTCTGTTTTCATTTTGTTTTGTTATTAGAGCTATTCTGCTATCTGAGAAGGAGACAGAAAATAGATGTCCACGCCTACAGACTCTGGCGCCATGCCTCATCCCGGTCCTTCCCCTGGACCAGGACCTTCCCCTGGACCGATTCTAGGACCTAGCCCAGGACCAGGGCCATCTCCTGGCTCAGTGCACAGCATGATGGGGCCAAGTCCTGGTCCACCCAGTGTCCCGCACCCAATGCCAACAATGGGGCCTGCTGATTATCCACAGGAAGGCATGCATCAAATGCATAAGGTAATAATAGCTTTTTTACAAGTGGACCTTTCTCTCCTAAAGTTTTTTCCCTTGATAAAAAGCATACTTATACAGTGTTCAGACCTGTGTAAGATCTACTCTGCTTCATGTATCACCTGCAAAAATGAAGCCACAATCTAATATAGTCCTTTCTTTATTACTAGAGCTAGTGTATATATCAGACTAAACACAGCTTGCTTGTTTTTAGTAAACTAGTTTGAACTGCAGAGTTAGCAGTTTTACAAGTCTCCAGTTGTCAACCGTGCACTTTTCAAAAGGGTATTCTTGCCAGAGAATATGTTTGTAGTACTGTAACAACAGTTACAGTCTAACAACTGTTTTTATAATTAAATGAATGTTCTTTTAAGTTTCTTTTTTTTCTTTCTTGTGGTCTGTTTTGAAACATCTTGATACCATATTGCATGTTTTTCTGTTTTTTTTGTTTGTTTTGCATGAAATTTCATCTTTTAAAAATTATTTTAACTCTTAAAAATCCTTGTGTTTATGAATCTGTTTAATCTTCTCAACTGATGGAAAAGTTTGTTTCCAAAGTTAATTTGCATATGCTCCATCTTGACAAAGAATTTTAAACTATGTAATTTAGAACATATGAATAATCTGGCTGTAGGCATTGTTGTTAAATGCTTAAAGTTACTTAGATAATCGTCAGTGTCTTTTGCTTTGAGGAAGTACTTTTCTGCCTGGAATATTTATTTGAGAACATTCTATAAATATTCATGTTTTTATATGATTATGAAGCAAAGCTTTATGAAATATGATATTTTCACTGAAAAAACATGCAATAACAACTTGTAAAACCAAGCTATTAGTTCATAGCATTTCTGTTACTAGTGTCGTTGCTGTTTGGTATTGTTATGAACACATGTTGAAACTTCAAATAATAATAAAAATGAACTTTAAAATGTGCCTTTTTAAGTTATGAAAGCATTTTTATTTTTCTTCTGTATTTTTCTCTTCAAGCTGCCACTTTCATGTCCACATTAGTTTGTTAATAAAACAATGGTAGTTGTGTCCTGTCAGTGACAGATTCAATAGTATCATCATCTTCATGAAAAACTGCATTAGAACTTGTGATAGTACAAGACAGCTGAGGTGATGGGTAACCATGACAGCTCCTGCAATCTGAAAAGTCAGCACATTCATTACTTAAAATTTTGATATGAATCTTCATGCATCTAGTTTATCTCTAGCCGTATTGGACATTTGCATTCGTTGTTTATGCGTTCAGTTACAGCCCAAGTTGCCAGTAGTCTGGTGAGTTCCTAAGACTTCAGAGACAACCAGGATACAGTATACCTCCTTCACCTCTCTCAGTTCCTTCTGGTTCGAGAGATTCTAAGGTGCATGAAAGGAAGGCAGCACCATGAACAGTAGAACAGATGAATATTTGGTACAGTAAATCTTGAACTGCTGTATCCTGTCTTACCTTGTGTGTTCCTTAGCTGACGTATGCTCTGTCAGGATTAGAATAAGAATAACTAATAACATCCTGCAAAGTTCTTCTAGAAAGTATAGGAATATCTGAGACAGTCTAGTCGTTCTCTCATCACAATATAGTAAGGCGTCTACAAATTTTGAAAAACATTGTAGGTTTGAAGAGTCTGGATAGGTGACTCGAAAGGTGAGCAAAACTACTCCCCTTGTTTTCTCCTGTGATTGTGAGAATGGGGTTAATGCTGATGTAATTGCAAAAGTTTTCAGTAGCAATGTTAGTTTGAATGCTCTTGTTCTCCTTTGGGCACCAGCTTCATTTGTTCCTGTGTATGTGTGTGAGAGGGAGAGAGAACGAGAGTGTGCAAAGCACAGAGTAAGTCCGTTGAATTTTTTTTTTTTTTTCCTGTGTAGCGCCACAAGTAGGGTGTTGAAAGAGCTGAGGGAAGGACAAGGGGAATGGTTTAAGAACTGCTGTCAAAGCATAGCTGTAGAATATTTTGCAGATAGTCTCCAGTGTTGTTTCATGTAATTCAAAAAATGGTCAGCCCACTGCAGTTTACAGTTTGATTAGGTAATTATTTTCTTTCTGACTAGTGTTATGTAAAACAGGTTGAGTTTCAAGTCATGATGCAAGACTGTACACTTTGTTTCTAACAAGAACAAATAACAGACGTGGGAGACTGGGCAAAGTGTGCTTCAGTTACATAACTACTTGTAGGATGTATATGTATCTTTGCAAACATATGCAATGGGATGTGGCTCTCCTGTTAAAACGCACAAGCTAAATAGGAGAGAGGCTTTCATTTTATATTGGATATTTGACTAGATTGCAGAAAATAATATATGTATAGAATTAAAAGAAATGCAGAAGTATAAAGGTGAGCTAAGACAAGTTCGTATTAGTAAATCGTAACTCCCAGAGTTTAACGACATTCAGTAATCCTGATGACAGTAATCAGATGACAACCAGAAAACTGATTCATGGGAAAATTTGCTATTTGTTTATACAGCATTTGCAGTTATGACAGAAGCAATAAATTGACTATCTTTCTTGCTACTTTCTGAAGTAATCTTTTAAGTTTACCTATCAAGCTGCAAGACAGCTTGCCTGGTTCAAGGAGACATACTTAGAAGTCTGGTGGGAGAGAACAAACCAGAACAGCCTAAAGGTCTTCTAAGCTGAAGATACTTGGAAACTGCAAAGATAGTTGAGGGGAGCATTTTTATGTGGTTGATCCAGCCTTACTCTTCATGAGTATCCACTTACAGGACCACTTGCAGGAGTCATACTGTAAAGATAGATAGCTTTAGTGTGAACTGCTTTAGTTGTCTGTATGTACTTACACAGCTGGACCACATGAGTTTAAGTAATTAACTGTTTTAGTTATGACAACAATACATCTATCTAATTTGCATAGTTTGAGAGGTTGGAAAGAGCTCTGTGGGCTGTGAGTTTATTTTCTATTTAATCATAACCTGAAACATTGATTTTCGTGAAGTTATAATTGAGTGTACTGTAAATGATTACTGGCTCTGGGAAAATGGTTTTGATATCACAGACAGTGTTCTTATTTTGTCAGAATTGAGTGACAGAAAAAGTTTTCATACAAAAATGTGAGTTTTTGTCACTTTTTAATGTATTATTTGTTCTTTCAAATGTTCCATTAATAGAGAAAGGTGATGTTTTTCACTTTCTTGGTTGGTTCATAGGTCTGTGCCTGAGCCCGTTAGACATGCTTTAAGGAACTGTTTTGGTCGTCAAAGTAGCACCTTTCAGTTTGCCAAATATGCTCTGTGCCTTACCTCTGTTTCATTTATTTACTTTGTTGAAGAATAAATAAATAAATAAAGAAGGTATTGCTTTCAGCCTTGGAAAGTTAGCAGTGCCCTAGAAAAAGAGAAGGAAAAAAAAAAAACCTCAACATATTTTAGTGATTTATGTATAACAGACAGAACTGTTCGCTAAGTCTCTACCATAAGGGCAACCAGAGTCAGTCCCACTGTCCATTCAGTTTGTCCTTCAGTTATACTGTGTAGTTATGCGGCAATAGACTGCTGTGTGTTCCGCTTTCTTGTTTGTTTATATATAAATATGTACACAATGTTTTGTTGTTTATATAGAGAATGCATGATCTAGAAGAAGTCTAGCTTTATACTTAGCACTTGGTCTCTGATACCAGTGTCAGTGGTCAGTGGAGGTTGGAAACAGGAAACAGACATCTTAATCTGATAGTTTTCCTAGAAGTAGATCAAATAGTGATTTAATGCAGTTTGTGAAAAAAAACTTAGTTTCTTAATGAAGAGAAAAAGTGGTTTAGATAAGATCTTCCTAAAGTCTCTGTTCTTTTCTGGAAGAACCATTGCATTTTAAGTCTGTTCTGCACCAATTCTTGTTTACATGGAACAAGGAAATATAGTAATGCATGCTCAAGGTTGAGTATGTCTCAACTTTGTATTTCACTTCTGTTCTATGATAATATCAGAAGAAAAGAAACTTTTGGTGATGTTTTGGTGTTAAAGATTATATTTCTTATGCCAGTGTCTTTGTCAAGGCATCGTTATTTTAATAATTCATGCAGGATTGAAGGATTTACAGAATTTGCATAGACATAAGGTCCGTTCTGTACGCTTGCATTTTTTTAACAAGTATGTAGATTTAATGTTACCATGCAGCTCTATAACTATACAGTGATTCAAAGAGGTTATGAAAAATAATAATTTCTCAATTTTTATAGTCCTCTGCTATTTTTTTCCTCTATTTAATAGAGTTTTGCTATGAACAGCAAAGATGCTTTCAGGTTAAAAACACACTTGAAAGCACAAAGCCTTCAGCATAAATTAGCAGTACTATAATGATTGAAACTAATTTTATCCTGATATGGAAAAATTTATGCCATTTTTATCTTTCATAGCTTTGCCAATAAAAACAGATTAATAATTTACCTTTTCTGATCTGTTTCTTTCACTTTTGGTTTCTCACAGTATAATTTCTGCAAACGAATGGGAGCAAACCCTTTTTTGCTGTATTTAGGCTCCCTTCCATTAGGCTTTTAAATCTTTCTCTTGAAAAAACCCTTTTCTTAAGCGTAACTCTTTCCATAGAAGCATTTCTCCATTGGAAGTTCTGTGTATCACCACAGATCATTGTCCTTTACTTTTTTTTTTTCTTCCTTTTTTTTTTTTTTTTTGTCTTTAATCCTGTGTTTTGAAAAGGCAATTCTTCTGTATTTGCTTCCTTCCTCACTGCTGCTCTTTGGTAATGTCAGCCTCATCCCCTGCCCAGGGTGCTAGAACTCTGGTGCCCTGGCTCTGTGCGCTGTATCTTAGTCTGTTCAGAGCTGCTACCTGAATGGAGGGTTTGCTGCTGCCATCCATCAGTGCAGTGACCTCTGAGAGTCCTGCACTCAGGAAAGGAGACCTGATCTTCTGCACAATCTCTTCCGCTTTTTGGAGGATCTAAAGATTCGGTCCTGGAGATGTACTGTGATGAGATAAGGTACAGCTCCTGCTTTACAGGCATTCTGTTCCTTAGCTCTTGGCATCTAGCTTGGCGGTGTCCTGTCAAATGTATGTGCAGTGCTGATTGTCTCTGTAAGCAATGGTGAAGGGAGAGGGAGTGGTCGTCTTGTTTCAGAAAAGAGCATTGAGTTTTGCTTGCTCTGCTTTCCATGTGTAAATTAATAATCTATCTCTACATCTCTACTCCATACCCCAAGTTTTTGTAATCAAAAAATAGCTTCTCAAATAGCAGATTTATTTGTTATTTATTTTTACTGGTAAAAGCTTTTTTCCTAAGTGTTTCTTTTAGTTGTCTTATTTAAATGGTTTGGTGAAAAACAAGAAATGTATGTTACTTTTGTATAACTTTTCTCCTTTTAGCCTAGAGTTTCTGATAATCAGTGAAATCTTTAAGAAGGAATTATAAACCAATGAAAGAAATTAAAATAGGAAAATTGTATGAAGGATTTATAATTTAAAATACAGAATTATTTTTCCCTATTTGTGCATAGAAAGAATGGCCAGTGTTTAGTTCTATATAAATTAATTTGTGCATAACAGATTGCACAAACAGAAGAAATGCAAAGTCTGTTTTTATAAATTCATCTAGCTTCTTTTACGTACTGTCTATTAATTTTGTTTTCTATTGTAAAATTTTTCCCAATTCTCTTTTTTTTTTTTCCCAAATAGTTCTCAATAAATAGATATAGTAGTCTGTGTTCACAGGAAGGCTTGAAAGATCAGTTAGTATTTGGTATCCGTGCATATATGTATTACAAAGAAGGGCAGAATTACAGATTTTAGGAGCGAGAAGCAAAGTGAGTCTTGTCAGCATTTTTCTTTCCTATACAGAGCCTTGCAAGCCTTTTAAGTCAGCTGTTAATGGGCAGAATCTCTCATGTTTAGGGACCTGACGGAATTTTTGCTTTCAGGTAAACATTTTTTGGTTTAAGACCTCCTTTCCTTCTCATGATATTTTTCACCTATTTTCATATTCATATCCCTGCAGTTTCTGTTAGGAGCCTTTTCCAGTGCCCTTACTTTTAGAATGTTTTTCTGACCCTACATTCTCCTCTCTTTACTTTCCTAGGGAGGCACTTGGGCCTGTTTCACTTTCGAAATACGATTTAGATTGTCATTTTTGAGTAGTAAATTAGGTGAGAGGAACTGTAGGAGAGGTGAGTGTTCCAGCGGAACTAAGTCTTTTTTCCAGTGCCTTTCCCTGTTATTTTATTTTATTTTTTTTTCCCTACCAGGAGTGCCTCCTGCAATGGAACCATCATTTTCGAAGAGAAACAGTGTTTGGAATGTTTCAGTAGAACAGTGACTGAAGGGCAAAGTTTGGATTAAAAATAGCTTGGGCAAAGCCACAAGCTGTACTTTCATGAGTTGGTATGGGTTACACTATTTTGTAATGTGAGGCCAGTATGGTTTATGTGTTTGTATTTGGACAGTTTGCCTCTTTGGCATTGATCAAAGCACATAAGGAGAGTAAGGGGAAAAAAAAAAAAAAAAAAGAGTGGCCAGCCTTGCAGTCCTTTGCTTTCCAAAATGTCTGATCTTAGAGGTAAAGTTTCAAATTGTATTTGCTTTGAAAGTGTTAAGAGATGTTTGTACATTTTTGTATGTACATGTGTAAATTGTATTAGTCTCTTAGATTTCTAAGTGCCTTCTCTGTACAAATACATGTTTTGTTTTCACAGACAATTGATGGTTTGCATGAAAAAGGAATGGTTGAAGACGTTCATTGTAGCTCCATGAAGAGTATGCGACCTCCTCACCCTGGAATGGGCCCACCTCAGAGTCCAATGGACCAGCATAGTCAAGGTTGATACATACTATGCATGCAATATGATTTTGAGTCCTTTTTGTGCCATAAAGTGTTAAAAGTAACATGGAACAATTTTCCTGTAATTTTATTTCTGCCTTGTTTGGAAAGGATAACCTGCAATATCAGAGGGTGAAGGGAGTAACTTAATCCCCTTGCTATCTAGTGTGCTCATCAGTCATAGACTAGAGAAAAGCTAATCCTTTTGGATCTAAGCCTACGTCTTGGCAAATAAGCAGATATAGGTTGCAATTCACATCTATAAAATATTTTTTCTGATACTATGTGGCTGTCATAAATATTGAAGTATTACAATATGACCTCTTTTAAGTGTATTTGTGAGTGTATGGTGAAAGAATTGTAGAAGACAAGAATCCAGTCAAACCTGGATTGGCTACCTTAAATGTTAATCGTGTTTGACCAAGAGCTAAAAAAAGTTCTTGCCAAAAATTTTTATTCCAGAAAATAGAAACTCATTTCATCAGAATTCTGCATGTCTTCTTTATGCCACTTAGCTTGCCACATAAAAGGATGTGCATTCTTTAAACAGCTCAATATTTTGGAGGTTTAAGTGGACTGGTAACCTGCTAATATTAATTAGCCGAGCAAGTAAGGTTTTTTATATTATATAGTTACTCACTTTATGCCAATACCTGAAGATACCAACAAAAAAAAGGATCTAGTTTGCATCTCTCTCTACAAATTTATTGATAGATGGCAACTATTTGGTGTTTCTATGTGTTTATAAGACTGAAAAAGAGAAATGATGGGCAAGAGAATACAGATACACATTAGCAGAATCACGTTACCTGACTTGTGTGACTTTTCAATATCAATTAAGTGAAACAGAATTGATTTGAAGGGGCAAATTTTTCAGATAAAACTTTTATCACCGATTACAGTGGTAAGCATAAGTAGTCATCTGAGAGCAAGATTTTAACTGACTTTTCATTGAGAGGCACAGGTTTTCTCATTTCTTAGATCAAGTAGAACAAAACTGATGAAAACTGAGGAAAACTGGTCTGGTTTAAACATAATTTGCTGTTAATACAAGAATGCCAGTTGCATATGCTTCCGATACTGATAGCTCCATTCTTTCGTGTGTTTGCTGAGACCCAGCTTTGTAATTGTCTTGCTTTGCAACAAATAATATTAGAAACAGCTGTAGCGGGCTGAAGACTGCAGATCTTTGCTCTCTTTTTAGTGTATGTCGGGAACTGTTACAAGGTAAACAGAGAATCTTGGAGCTATAATGTAAGCAGTCTTTTTAAAAAGAAGTGGTAAAAATATATGTAATTTATGTATTTCACTTCTTACTGTGGTGGAACTACCTTGGTTGATTTGCCCTTAGGCTTCCTATTTGTTTCCTGCTTATCTTCTCAAAAGAGAGGGTGGGCAGAAGAGGCTTCTTCTGAATGTATTGAAGAAGGTCTCGTCTGTTTACCTAGTAACTTCTGTAACTTCTCGTAAGTGTATTTTTCCAAGATAAAAAGCTTGTTTTCTTAAAAGCCTTTTAAATTATTGGATACTTTCAGTCTGATTTACCAGGGGATTATGGGTCTAACACAATCATACTCCTGCAAATTTTGAGCAAATAGGCAACATAGTAAAAGAAGAGTGATCATGTCAATGCTTATACCAGGAGGAAAAACCCAATATGAGTTCTCTGAATATTCATTGTGATCTCCTAATCTTGAAAAAATTTCCTAAGCATTTGATTCATGATTACAAATCAAAACTTAGTATAAAATTCCTTTCCTTGTAGATTCTGTGATATCTGATGGTTATGTTTACATTGCAGATATATAAATATAAATATATAAATATGCATATTATATATAAAATTTTAAATTATACAAGTCATTGGATAAGTTACATCTTATTAGTTATTATCTTATTAATTGTATTATATCTTATTAGTTCTGGGTCTCTAAAAGTTTTTTGTTAATCGTTTATTTTTTTTATAGGACTTGAATTGAAGGAGGTAAATACATTCAGTGGAACAGGTTGCCAAGAGAGGTTGTGGAGTCTCCTTCTCTGGAGAGAAGGAGACCAAACCAGCCTGGACACAGTCCTGTGCCACATGCTCTGTGTGACCCTGTGTATGCAGTGGGGTTGGACTAGATGACCTCTAGAGGTCCCTTCTGACCTTTAGAGAATTCTATGATTCTATTCACTAGTTAAACCTGTTGTATTCAAAAGTTCATTGGAAGGTAGCTGAGGAAGTTCAGAACCCCAGAGAATGGATGTTCCTATTTTTGCACCATTATTTTGAAAGTGTAAACAATGTCCACAGGCCAAGAAATGACTGTCAGCATAACTGAGCTGATTTCTTACAGTGTTATTTTGTGTATTTGTACAGTGCTTATGAGAGTGGCTCAAACATGGGACCTCTCTATGCTAGATTACCTCTCAGTGCTAATATTAGTATTGATAGACACAACTTTGTCTCCCAAGTAGACTTGCAAAAGGCACTTGGCTTGCATCTGTATGACATTTCAATTTAGGAGAAAAGTAATACTAAGTAAAAACAATATAATCTATACTAAACAGATTCAGTTTAAGTGGCAGATTATAAACAATGTAAATAAAGGATGGACATATGTTATATTTCTGGGTAGACTCTATTTTAGGTAGAATTGTATTCTTGGTTCGGTGTTATTCAGTATATTTAGTAGGGAAGAGCACAGCATTACTTATCAAATTTGCAGGTAGCACTGAGGTTTACCATAAATAACAAACAGCTGAATTACAGATGCTGGTCAGGATGCTCAGTAGAGTGGGTTTGTTTTACAAGATGTATTTTTTAAAACAGGGAATAACATCATATGTCTAGAAACAATGTTTGTGTAGGTAATATGAGATTCAAAGCAGTATTCCTGAAGGGAGCTTGTCATGTCGAACTTAAGTGTGAGTTGTCATATACTTTAGCCATGAGATGGAATGTACTACCTGCATTCATAACCAGGGTTTTATTAAACGAAAAGCTGTACTACCTTTATTAGTGAATTAGTTGAGAGCTTTGTGGTAGTATTGTATTCTGTTCTTATGTCTGCACTTTAGGAAGGTATTTGAAAATTGTGCTCTGTTTAGAAGGCCCATATATGAGTGATTTGCAACTTGGAAGATGCGTGCTCTTTACTCGAGAATGTTAAATTCAAGTATTTATTCTGTCAGTGAGAGTACTAAAAGATCTTTGTAATCAGTTGCCACATTCTCAGTAGCTAAAAAGACTTGTAATAGATGGCTTCTATATCTAGCAAAAAAGTGCAGCGAGTTTTTATGCCTGCAAGTTTAAATCAGGCAAATTCAGACCAATTCAGATATCTATATCTGACAAAATGAAGATAGTTAACCTTTGGGACAGGGATTACCTGAACATTTGGGATATCTTTTCTACCACTTGACATTTAACACAATACTAAATATCTTTCAAAATTATTCGTTGTAAAAAGTAAAGCTCTTTGGTCTCTTTGAGCAACTTATATAGACTGTAGTAATTGTGGTGATCTCTTACTACAAAAAAAAAAAAATGGAATCTGTAAAGATCGAGACCCTGACAAGCAGTAAGCTAGAGAAGGACAGAATGTTTTGAATTTTTGGATACTGGAAGATGATCAGTCTTCAGGAAATGCTGTCTCTGAATAGAACGTTTGTGATGCATACGCAGCCAATAGTCCATCTACATGTAGTTTACAATTAAAAGTGGGCAGAAAAATCATTTTAAATGTCGAATGTTCTAATAATGTAATCTTTTTGGTATTTTTCTTTCACTCGTACAAAAAGGTCTTGCGAAAGTGTGTTTCTACATAATGACATTTTTAAATAAAAAAAGAATATCAGAAAATGTAGTAATAAGTTATGGATGTAAAACACATGCTTATGATTGTAGGTGAGTAATTAGAAATGATTAGACCAATTGCTCATACTGATGTGGATTTAATCTATATAAAGTGCACACAGAATTATGATGAATGGTCTTGAAGATAGGCAAACTTCCTAGCTGGAAAAGAGTATTTTCAAGGAAAACTGATGCAGGATTCAGAGTAATGATTCTTGCAGTCTGTAATAAGAAACAGTAAGCTGACACTTTTTGTGGTGGTGGGGCTTACTTTGATCAGCAAATCAAAGGCAGGCAATAGAAGCTAAATCTGCAATTACTTTGTCATTCTGCTGGTAGATCTGTGTGTGTGTGTGTGTGTGCTGTCTCAGTAGCAGTAACTCTTCTGAGATTATTTCTTTTTTTAGCTGAAGATGATTACTAAAATAAGCTGTGTGGCTTTATTACTTAGATATTTTTTCCCTTTATATTCAGTAGTATGCTAGTCATGCAGAAGATTTCTCTCAAACTAGTTGAGGCACTGTTACATTTTTAATGCAGCCCTAAGCTGACAGAATGGTTTTACAAACATCTGACGTTGATTTGTGGAGGGAAAAACTCATGAATTGGTATCTGTCTCCTCAGCAGTTCTTCCTTTCCTCTTTAGCAGTCAGATTGAACATTGGGTGATATTTCTGACTACTTCAAGTGACCAGTTGTCTTTTCTTGAGCTCATGCACAGTGATTCTTTTTAGTCTTACTACCTTTCTTTCCATATTAGCAGTTTAATTAGAAAGGAGAACCTGTTGCTCTAAGTTCATATTTAGCTATTTAAATAATAATCTTACTATATTTAACTGAATTTGGACTGCATTAGAAACAGTGTTCATCTTCTATAAAAGAACTGTGCTGAAAATACCTGTATCGATGTCAGATATATGGAGTTTACTGCTATTTTCTAGACTGCTAAGAAAAGTTATCCTGAAAATGAAATTATATTTAGCTTTGTTATTAAGTGGAACGGGAGGAAATTACAGAGACAGGATCCTGAGCCACTTGATAAGGCTTGGTCTTTGAGGCCTTAACATCTTAGCATTCAGTGTTTTTGCTGTCTTCTATTTCACAGACTGAATGGGCTATGCAGAATTAAAATCAAGATGTTATGTTGAAAATCTAGAGGAGAGAAGTTTTTTTTTCTGAGCAATTATTGAACTTTGTCTTTAAATATTTGCAGAATTGAGGGAATTTCTATATGTAACAAAAAACAGATCTAAAGTATTTCATGGTAGCAAAATTAAGAAAGAAGGCTGGATTCTCCTTGTCTGTTATCTTAAACACTATTAAGCTTTTTCTTTTCCTTTTTTTTCCTCTTTTTTTCCTTTGACATATATTGATTAGTGTCTTTCTTCATAATTGCATGTTCTTATTCAGATGCTTTGTGTGCATTCTTACCTCTTAGAGGATCTTTTCTCATAAATATGGAAAAAACAAGTTATATGGAGACTTTATTAGGACTGGTTTGTGGCTGTATGTCATATGGATAAGCCTTCTGAAAAGATTTGCGCTTAAGGAAAACTTTCATATAACATCACACAATTTAGATTCTTTAAAATGCCAGTTTTAATCTGCGTAAGTTGGAGCAACTCTGCGAAAATAAAAGTTGGATACTGTTGTTTGTGTGCTGGAGATTACTGGCAAAGAGGGCCTCTATAAATGAACGGGTGTTCCTTGAAGTGTGTATATCAAAATAATGCACAGTATTAAACTCTAAAATAGTTAGATTTCATTGCATGTGTTTTGTTATGAAATATTTGTCTGATACGCTAGTGAATCAGATAATGATACCCTATCTTGGTATTTCTGGGTACTGTCCTTCATGCTTTAACTTGTTTTCTAAATCTGGTGGCAGTAGTTATTTTTAGAAATTATTGGACGATATGGTCATAGTTCTTTACAAATAATAGCCCATGTAGCTATCTTAATATTCCAGGAAGTTTAGATAACATTTCTGTTCTTGCAGAAAATACTTCAGCTATCCTAAATTGATAGACATTTTTACATTGCAAGTTGTGTTAAAGAAAACTAATGGAATTTGGATATGACTAATATGAAGCTAAGCTTGCGATCCTCTTCTCTATTCTAGGTTATATGTCTCCACACCCATCTCCCCTAGGAGCCCCTGAGCACGTGTCCAGTCCAATGTCTGGGGGTGGTCCAACTCCACCACAGATGACTCCCAGTCAACCAGGACCCATAATGCAAGGAGACCCACCAGTTATGAGCCAGCCTAACAGAGGTCCTTCACCCTTCAGCCCTGTGCAGCTGCATCAGCTCCGAGCTCAGATTCTAGCCTACAAAATGTTAGCTA